CCCCTCCTCACCTGTCCTTACCCCTCCTCACCTGTCCTCACCCCTCCTCACCCTTCCTCACCTGTCCTCGCCTGTCCTCACCCCTCCTCACCTCACCTGTCCTCACCCCTCCTCACCTGTCCTCACCTGACCTCACCTCACCTGTCCTTACCCCTCCTCACCTGTCCTCACCTGTCCTCACCTGTCCTCATCTGACCTCACCTCACTTGTCCTCACCCCTCCTCATCCCTCCTCACCTGACCTCACCTCCTCACCCCTCCTCACCTGTCCTTACCCCTCCTCACCTGTCCTCACCCCTCCTCACCCTTCCTCACCTGTCCTCGCCTGTCCTCACCCCTCCTCACCTCACCTGTCCTCACCCCTCCTCACCTGTCCTCACCTGACCTCACCTCACCTGTCCTTACCCCTCCTCACCTGTCCTCACCTGTCCTCACCTGTCCTCATCTGACCTCACCTCACTTGTCCTCACCCCTCCTCATCCCTCCTCACCTGACCTCACCTCCTCACCCCTCCTCACCTGTCCTTACCCCTCCTCACCTGTCCTCACCCCTCCTCACCCTTCCTCACCTGTCCTCGCCTGTCCTCACCTGTCCTCACCTGTCCTGCAGGTAACCCCAGCTCAGTGATGAGTCCGGCTGGAGCCACATCTCTGGAGGACCAGCAGTACATGGAGAAACTCAAACAGCTGTCCAAATACATCGAACCTCTGCGCAGGATGATCAACAAGATCGACAAGAACGAAGGTCGGTCCTCAGCGTTCAAAGCATTCATCCATTTATTGATTAATCATCTGAGTCATTTTGCAAAACAGAAATAATAGTTTGTGTTCCTGTTGGTGTGGACAGACAGAAAGAAGGACCTGAGCAAGATGAAGAGTCTGTTGAACATCCTGACTGATCCAAACACCAGGTAACAGCTGATCACTGACGTCTCCTCACCAACACACTGATCCATGTCCGTCCACTCAGCTGTGTGTCTGTCCTCTGACCTGCAGGTGTCCCCTGAAGACGCTGCAGAAGTGTGAAATCGCTTTAGAGAAGCTGAAGAACGACATGGCCGTGGTGAGAACAGAACAAACCTGTGCTGTCGTCACAGTGCTCAGCGTCACCAAAAATCCAGGAATATGTAAAGTCCAGTTCAGACCAAAGACTCGTGACGAGATGAAACCATTTCAGAACGTCACTGAGGGTGTTTGTTTCAACTCGTCTTGTCGTGTCTTTGGTCTGAACTGGACTTTAAGGAGGACAGAGTGCAGATACGAGTCCATGTTAACAGCAGAGACGATCAGTGAGGTGACATCACCATCCTGTAAACTCTGAATGACACTTTGAATGTATAAATTTGTCCCTATCCCTCCAGCCGACCCCCCCGCCCCCCCCAGTGGCCACCAAGCAGCAGTACCTGTGTCAGCCGCTGCTGGACGCCGTCATGGCCAACATCCGCTCTCCAGTCTTCAACCATTCTCTGTACCGAACCTTCGCCCCCGCCATGACCGCCATCCACGGACCCCCCATCACGTACGTCTCACCTGTACATGACGTCTGCAGTCAGAGCACATTTAAAGGTTCAGTCCAACAAAAACACAGATGCTGATTCAGTGTTCTGAATCGACTGAAGAAAGTTGACAAGACGGGCGAAGAAACTGGTGCTCACTGTACTGTCAACAAAATGACCACAACGACCGCCATCTTGTTTTGCAGTAGTGAGCGCTGATCTCACTGACCAACACGTTTCCTGTTATCACTTCATAATAAAGTTCAGCTCGTGTTTCGCCAGTTAATGACTTTTAATGTGAAGCTGCAGCAGTGGGAAATGTGTCAGCGCTGTGTGACATCACTCTGCAGCAGATAGAGGCCGAGTTTTATTTACATAAAAATAGTGTGTGAGGTTAAAACACAGCTGTCGGTGCAGTTTGAGTGACAGACATGAACATTGTGTGTCTGTTCCTCAGGGGTCCCAACATCTCCGGGAGGAAGAGGAAGCACGAGGAGGACGAGCGGCAGACCATCCCCAACATCCTGCAGGGAGAGGTGGCTCGCCTCGACGTCAAGTTCCTCGTCAACCTGGATCCTTCGTTCTGCAGCAACAATGGCACCGTGCACCTCGTCTGCAAACTGGGTGAGTCGGACACAGAAACCTGGCGCCGACTCTGAGCCGACGGCGGCAGGCCACATGTTTTAACCACGTGTTTGTTCTCTTGTCTCTCAGATGATAAGAACCTCCCCAGTGTTCCTCCGCTGCAGCTCAGCGTTCCTGCTGATTATCCTGACCAGAGTCCGTACTGGGCCGACGACGGGGATCAGTACGGTGAGACAGCTTCAGCTTCAGCACACTGTGACATCACTTTAAAGCTGTGTTTGTTATTTTACAGTAATATACAAAACATACCAACTATCTGTCTAAATGAGTTAGACTGAGGGTTTAGAGAACAGCAGAATATCTGGGTGGTGACTTCACCATCAGGCCGCGGACCAAAAGGGCCCAACAGTTGGAGATCCGTTTCTTACAGTTTTCTTTCAATGCTTCATTTAATGCTCTCCTCTCTTAGATACGTCCTGACCTCGTCTGTAAAGCTTTCCTGTAACTTGTGAGTGTTCAGACTTAATATGAGCGAACAAGTTACATTTACGAACGCCCAAACTCGACCTTGAGCGAGGTGTTTTGTCTCAGGCACACCCTGACCTGGCCTCGATCTGCCCCAGGTCAAAGGCCACTGTAGTGCTTTCCTCTTTTTATTCTCAGAGAGTAGAACTGAGCTCACTTTAGAGTATAACTCTTTTTAGCTTAGCTTTTATATGCCACGGTACGATACTTTTCTATAATACATCAATGATATTTCAATGGAATAAATTACTTATTGACTTATTCATACTTCAAAAACAGCATCAGTAAGTGATTAACATAGGGGGGATCAAAATAAAATAAATAAATAAAATCTAAATCAACCAGCCACCCTCCTCTCCTGACAAATAAAGAATAGTCCCTTCATAAGTAAAGAACAGTCCCTAAAGTGCAGTGAGGTTTGTGGACACAAAGACTTTTGGGCAGTCATGACAACAAGTTATTCACCTGGAGCCGGACTTCTCTGTCGCCAGTAAGCCCTTATCATACGCCGCCGTATTTGACAGGAATACGTATTCCTGTCCATGTCTGTGACCCCCGTTCAACCCACAACCGGCGGGATTCGCTGTTTAGTTTCTGATGCTGGTTGAAATCTGTACTCACACAACGTGCTGAATGATTTATTTTGCCCAAAACTATGTTTAGTCGCGAGTGCGGTGATGGACAGAGTAAAATATCGCCACACTGCCGACATTTTACTTTGTCACCGCACGCTTTTTGATTGCGTTATCAAAACACGCTGCTATTATTCGGCCTTGCTTTTACTTATTCCACCGAATACCGAATGTGTGTTTCTTTGCAATATTAGGCCGAATATATTCGGTGCATCTCTAAATAGGAGCCTTCCCCCACTCCCCACTCCCCTCACCGCTGCTCTCCTCACTATACTGGCTTCTGCGCTGTGCAAGTGCACAGATGTCTCAGAGTGGTGGTGCATTTGCAAAAATGTTTTGAAGGAGTTTTGAAGGAGCAGCAGCGGCGTGTCGTGGAATGTAGTGGAAACACTGGGTTATGTTCACACATACGTAACTATTTTAAACAGGAAGCTGCGAGCCATCTACATTTCCAACCGGCATCTACAATGGAGTCTCCAGTTGAGTTCATCCTACCGATCGCGTTTGCTGCATTCATCATGCTTCGTTTGGTGAACGACAGACGACAGGGGACTTCTGCTAGCTAGCTAACCAGCTAACATTATGAGGCAGCATAGTTATACTAGCTGGCGTGTTATCGTCATGTGAAAAATCAGACAATTTTGCAGAACAGGACAGATGACAGACGCCAGATAGTGCGAGCTAGCTAGCTAACAAGCAACCTGACGACGGTAACGTTAGCTATGTATGAACTTTTTTCCCCGTCTCTTGCTCGGTGGTAGCCATGGCGACATCTACCCCTCGCTGGCAAGTCAGCATCTGAAATCCCTCGCTCCGAAGGGCTAGTTTCATACCCACTACCCCTCGTTATGCCCCCTACACCTACACGCAAAAAGGAACTGGGACACCACTACCCTTCATGGGAACGCGCGAATGTAGGGGTAGGGCCAAGGGGGAGTAATGGGACGGGCCCTTAGTGTCTGACACACCTACAGCTTTCTGATACACATTAACGGTGTTTCCCGTCACTTAAGCTGCTGTTCTCCTGTCAGTCACACAACCAGCTCTGGCCTGAATCAGCATCAGATCGTTGAGCTGAAGTCCCATCAGGGTAACAAGTTTATATCCAGTCTCTCACACACACACACACACACACACACACACACACTCATTACACAATAAGAGTTAATACCAGGACATTTACACAATATTATCATGTTTAGATCTGAAAATACTGACTCATGATTCTGTTCTAACTCGCGCTGTGTCCTGACTGGGTGTGACGCCAGTGCGCGTCAGTGCCTAAAGCTGTGTTGATTGATGAGGTGATGACCTGTGATCACATGACCTGTGACCTCCTCCAGGTGCAAACAGCTTCCTGCAGACGGTGCACAGAAACATGACGTCCAAACTGCTGCAGCTTCCTGACAAACACTCAGTGACGGAGCTGCTCAACACCTGGGCTCAGAGCGTCCGCCAGGCCTGTCTGTCTGCCGCCTGAAGCCCCGCCCACCACCTGACTGCACCCGCTGCACACACAGTAACACACACAGATACTACAGTCTGATCTGACACTTTAACCTGTTTCCTGTTGGACTTCTGTCATTCATACAGAGCAGCTGCTGTGCCCCACACTCATCTTAGTCCCTGAACGCCCCTTCAGGTGGGCTGATATCATGTGATCTGATGCGTTCAGGCAGACTGACAGAGCAGATTTTAGCAGAAGCAGCTTGTACATAATATGAACTGTGTGTTAGAAGAACCCAAACATCTGAACTGTCATTTATCCTGACCGATATTCTGGTCCCTGAACGCATCACACTCTGCTTCTGTTTGTTGTTTAGTTTCATGAGTTTCTGTTTGACATGTGAGTTCAGTTTGGGACCACAGAAGAAGAACTCTAACTCAGCTTTTCAAACTGAAAATATAAATGTTTTGTTTTTTTGCTATCATAAATAAAAACTGTTCATTTAAACTTTCTGTTAAATCCAGAAAAATGTTTCAGTCTTTGAAAATAAATAATTAGTTTTTATTTCAACCAACAGGAAGTTCACTCATCATGTAACGTTTCATTAGAGCGTCTGGAATGTTTTTATAATACGCTGTCCTCTACCTGATTTTGGCACCAATAACAATATAAACTAGAACTGAAAGCAGTCATGAATGGGGTCCAAGCCTCCCCGCGCACCTCGGCCTCCGCGCCCCATGGAGCCCACAATAGTCGGCCCCAAAGGACGACAGGCTCAGGGCGAGCGTCAGGACATGCCAACATCTGAGCTGCAGTATTCACTATAATGGGAAGTACCAAAGGCTGAATGTGTTTGTTGCGTTAAGTCACACCCACTTTGACCAATCATTACCAAACTTTGCAGCTGACCTCAGGACTGACCCCACATCATGCTCACTAATTTAAGTACAAATCTGATCAACTTTTATGGAACGTCATATTTCTGGGTTTACAGCTTCCACTAGTGGCCAATTTGGGCCAAATTTGGCACCGAGCCTCTGAACGACCTCTAGAACATGTGTGTTAAGTGTCATGTTGATATAATGTAGTCTGACAAAAATATGCAACAATGTGTGTATTTTAGCTAGCAAAATGTTTTTGTCGTCAATAATTCGCACATTTTTTTGACCGGGCAAAATTGTTTTGATAACTTTAGATCAGGTCCATCTTGAGAGTCGAGGTGCCAAGTTTCATGCAGTTTGGACAAAATCTGTAGGAGGAGTTTGAAAAAGTAGGTTTTGCAGTTTTTGGTGGGAAAAAAAAGTTAGGTGGAAGTGGGCGGGGCCATGCACACGTAATGCATTGCCTTGGACCCCTAATAACAACAACAATAATGACAACAACAATAATGACAGTTTGTATAAAATGAGACAAAAATATTTTATTCAGACTAAATGATACAAAAGTTTTTAACGTCAGTAAAAATACTGACGGACACACAAACATTCTTCATTCAACCTGTGTGTGTGTGTGTGTGTGTGTGTGTGTGTGTGTGTGTGTGTGTGTCAGAAGCTGAGTGAGAACGTTCTGTACGACAGGTTCGTGAACACGTCGATGTGGTCGCTGCTCCCTCCCACCGTCAGCACCTGCACACAGGAAACAGTTATTATTATTGATCATGTTTCTGTTTAACAAGCTGAACATCTGATTCTGTGATGACATCACATCTGTGTCTCCGTTCTGAGCGTGCTCAGTGAGAACAGGAAGTAATCATGTGTAAAAAAAAAAAAAAAAAAAAAAAAATCTATTTTGTGCCGGCGATGAGTTTTAGAGAAAAGTAGAAGCTCTGATGAAACGAATGTTCCTGAGACGGTTGACCAGCTGCTGGTGGACGTGTCTCTGTGTCCACAGACATCACGTCCTTAGTGTGGACGCCATGATGCGTTCAGTGTCTCACCCTGTGCTCGGAGCTGTTGGTGTTGAGCTGCAGCGTGTTGAGGCTCTGCGGCGTACACGGGATCTGAGCTTTGACGTCTCCACCCATAAGACAGTGAGACACAAACGGGCCTTCACCTACAGCCAGGATCTGAGGAGGAGGAGGAAGAGGAGGAGGAGGAGGAGGAGGTTCAGATCTTGGACACACTCATCAACACTAACACCCTGAAGGCAGCACTCTCACCATGTCCTGGTAGAAGGCGGCCTGTCTCTGACAGCCGCTCAGAGGGAAGATGGAGGTGGGCGACAGAGAGCGGAGGTGCCACAGAGACAGAGATGGACCTCCACCACACAGCTGGAGGAGGAGACGCACAGTAAACACTGAGTAGACAACAAGTAAACAACAACAACAGTCAGCGTGTGCAGGTGTTTTCTTACCATCCAATCAGAGTCAGTCGTCACACAGCTGATCCATTTACCGTACTGAGGCCGGGCGCAGCTCTGAAACAAACCACAGCCACTCAAATTTCCTACTCTGATTACAGACACTCGAACACATCATGAGACAACTGCACCTTCACACACAGGAGGAGGAGGAAGAGGAGGAGGAGGAGGAGGAGAGTAAAGGACAGTCATATATGAAGGAACATGTTTATTATGACAGTTGAACATAAAGCAGAGTTCTGACCTCGTACTTGTAGACCTCGATGCAGTGGACACTCTGACCCGTCCTGCTGTCTGAACGACATCATCATCACCATCATCATCAGTAACACTAATGTGACCTACGGACAGACGAGAGGCCGCCGTCACTCACCCCACATCCTCACTGCTCCGTCCTCGCCCCCCGACAGGATCTCTGCCTCCCGCTCTCTCACGCTCACACAGTGGACATAGTCCGAGTGTCCCTGGAGGACAGACTGGAGACACAGAGACAGAGTCAGCTGCAGGGACGCAGAGGACAATGATGATGATGTCATCATGTCGCCACACAGGAAACTGCACGTGTCACCTTAAAGACTCCGTGCTCCAGGTCCAGGATGTGGATGTTGTTGTCTCCTCCTCCAACGACCAGACTGTTGTCCTGAGAGACACACAGAGTCACTCACAGGAGGTAAACAACAACAACAACAACAACAAGTAGACTAGACTGATGTGATCCAGGTCAGTGTCTCGTGTGTCCTCACTCTGGGGCTGATGACCATGGAGTTGATCTCTGGGATCTCCAGACTGGATCTGAGGACAGAGACAAAGACCTCCGTCAGCCGGCTGTTCCGTCACTACTGTAACACATGACAACATGAGGACGAGCGGACAGAAAGACGGCGTGTCTCACTTGTAGTTTGGTCTCTTTGTCCACAGAGGTTTGACGTTCTGAGGAGACACAGAGACAAATGTGAGACGAAGGTGAGTCTGTCTTTACCTCATGACCTCCGACCTTAAAGAGTCGCTCACCTTCTTGATGAGCTCGCTCCAGCTCCAGGCGCTCACCTCTCCGTTCCCTGCGCTGAGGAGGTGACAGTCGGTGGAGAGGAGCGAGAACACGGGGCCCTCGTGAGCTGCGGGACGACATCAGACACATGTCCATCAGTATGAAATCATGTCACTGGACACTAACAGGGACTCAGGTGACTCACCTGTGAAGGTCAGAACAGGTTTCTGACTGAGCGCCGTGGCGTCTGGACTCAGAGCTGCAGACAGGCTGACACACAAACATCATGATGATTATTATTATGATTCACAGTAACACGTGTGTGTGTGTGTGTGTGTGTGTGTGTGTGTGTGTGTGTGTGTGAGACCTGAACACAGCAATCTCTCCATAGTTGTTTCCAGCTGCCAGAAATCGACCGCAGGGAGAGAAACTCTGAGAGAAGACGGACATGTGGAGGAGCTGCAGACAACAGGACTGATTTAATACTTAGATTTATGACCAGCTGTTATTATTAACCCTTTATTTACCTCCTCTGTCCCACAGGCATGAACACACTCGACTGTTTCACCCTCCAACATGTCTTTAACGTGACCGACATTCATTTTCTAAAAGTCCAGGCCAATATTCGCCACGTTTTACCAGCAACAAATGGAGCTGACTTGTGACTACAACCTCTTCACTTACTGAACCATGACCCGAATGAACCAGGAGAGTCTCTTTAACATAAACAATTATTTAAACGTGTTATGCTGTTTTGAGTATTTTTACTAATAAGCTAGCAAACACAAAATTAGCAGAATTCTTAACGTAGTTTGGCCTACAGCTCTCTAACAGAGAGCAAAATGGGATTAAACAGCGTTAAAATCAATTGTTATTTAAGTATTATAACGTATTGAACTACAACCGAATTAACCAATAGAGTCACTTCAATATAAAGAAACATTTAAACTTGTTATGCTATGTCAGTATTTTTTACTAATAAGCTAGCAAACACAAAATTAGCAAAATTCCTAACGGAGTTTGGCCTACAGCTGCCTCTGTTCGTATGAGGACAAACACAGGTCGCAGAAAATGAAAGATAAATGTTAAAATCGATGTTTATTAACTTATTATCAGTTTTATATTAATCCATCAGATCAATGTTTCACTCGTTAATGTGCACGGACACATTTCTAACAACAACAGAGCGAATGAAGCTCGGAGCAGATTTTAAATCTAAAACACGAGTGAACTTCTTTAATTCTTCAGTTTAAATGAACAGATGAATATTTTACCTCGACGGGACCCATACTGCTCACACAGACACCGCGTGCCTCCAAACCGGCGGCAGATACCGGAGCAAACAGTCGGTAAATAACGAGAACAATAATCACGACCGACGCGACGAGGGAAAGAGCGGAACACAGGCGAGGAAATATGATGTCACATGTGACGCAAGGGATCCTGGGACATGTAGTACGCAGTTAGGCGGGAACTTGATGACCCTTTATAGGACGGAAAATTATAATTCATAAACAAAAGAAATAAAAACAATATGATGAAATAATAAGTCGTTTTATCACAAATGTTTTAAACTGCTCAGATGTTTATGTGAAAATGATCATTTTGAATATTTGTGAAAAAGACAACAAACAGCAGGTATCAAAGATCAGTACTATAAATATATTTATTAAAAGTAACATAATTATTGAATTGCATTGAAATACTTTTAAATCCTAAAATTACAGTTTTAAACTTTGATTGTGTATTTATTTATGTATGATTTATTAATTTTAATTTAATTAATTTAAGTTTATTTCCTTTATTAATCCCCCTGAGGGGAAATTCAATGTTTTCACTCTTGCTTGTCAATTACACACAGGTCCGAAAGACACACACACATGCACAAAGTGGAGAGATGTCAGAGTGAGGGGGCTGCCCTTGGTCAGGTGCCCCAAGCGGTTGGGGGGTTTGGTGCCTTGCTCAAGGGCACCTCGGCAGTGCCCAGGAGGTGAACTGGCACCTCTCGAACAGGCGACCCTCCGGTTCCCAACCCAAGTCCCTATGGACTGAGCTACTGCCGCCCCCAAGAAACAGTAAAATATTATTATCAGTGATAATATTTGGAAGTAAATAAAATAAAATGAGAATAAAGAGAGAAACTAAAGGAGCAGGTACAGTTTATAACGTGTCATAAATGATTT